TTTCACATGCATATGTCTCCTCTCAGGCAGCCCTTTCAGAGTCCCGGACAATGTGCTCTTTTTGTCCCCAACCCTTTCAGCCGCCTGTTCATTCTCTTTGCATCTGCTGTCACACAGGACATCCCGGCTGGCAAGCGACCATGGGGACACATTGTGCTGCCTTAATGAAGCATGGGGCTGGTGATACGGGGGTAGTTGGGGCCTGGAGAGGCTGAAGTAAGCAGAGGGGCACCCCATATTTCTACATCAGACTCTTTCTTGAGGGCAGGACCATCGTCCTCAGCCTCCCTTCACTTCTCGCATTCCCAATGATGTATCTGTAAGAAAGAAGCTGAAGCTTCAATGATTGGGGGCCAACGGTGTCTCTGGAACAGAGAGGGCTAGGCTGCTCCCCTGGTAGCTGAGCCCCTGAGAGGAGAACCTGAAAGAAGGTGTGTTACCTAGACAGAGAGACTCTGTCCAACCTCCCACATGTGGCTGAGAAACAAGGCCCCTGGAGTATTCTAGTGGGTCCTTAGAAACCACCTGTATCTCCGTCCAGCAGGGGTCAGGCTGGCCAGTGAGATGGCCTCTTCAGAGGCCCTTTCAGTCCCTCATAAGACACAGCTGGGACTGAAGAAAAGACAGGAGATTCAGTCATTTCATATCATGATCAGACACAGAAAGATACAGCAGTATGCCAGGCAGCAGCAGGGCAGGTGGTGAGCTCAAGGCCACCCTTCTTCATGCCGAGCGCTCATGAGAAAAACCCTTTCACCCTTCCCACTACTGAAGGAAAATGAAGGTGATGCCCAGGAAGGGGCAGGGGCTTTCCTCCCTGAGTGGCTAGTGGTGGGTCTCTGATCTTTGCTCTGGAGAAAGACGCTACCATTCAGATGTATCTGCACCGTAGGTGTGGCTTGAAGCCCCCAGCACAGAGCCAGTGACGGCTCTGGTGTTTTTCCTTGGGGCTCTTCATTGTGGCACAGACTCCAACTGCAACTCTCAGCCCTACCCCACCTCCCCAGCCCTTTCCTCCCAGCCACAGCTACCTAGCAGAAGTCTGAGGTGCGCCACAAGAATCTGGCATGAAACTCTTCCCATCACTTGAGGCCTGTCTTTCTGGTCTATTTACTGCACACACGCACCCCCTCCAACCCAACCCTTACCCTTCCTGGCCTGTTTACCCGCCCACCACCCAAAGAAAAAAGCCTGGGCCTTGTCCAACAAGGCCCCCTGTCCCCTTTAACAAGCAAAGTGTGCTGGCATTGCGATTGGTGGTCTTCTTGCTGAAGGTCTTTAATCAGGGCAGAATGTAGACCTCGCTGCAGTGCCAGCCCCATGAAAACGCAGCTGGCAGGTAGCCGAGACGGAGGAATTCGTCATAGGTTGGATGGGCCCGGGCACTAAGCACAAGTGTGCAGCTTATGCAAATAGTTTTGCTTAGCATGGATCCTGTGTTCTTAGTTCCCCTCTTCCCCCCCCCACAACTTTTTTTTCCACTCAAGGGTGGGGAGAGACTGGGAGAGCGCAGGGCAGTGGGGAAAACAAGCCCTTCCCTGCCAGATCTTGTGCTCAATCAGAAAGGAGCAAATTGCTTTTCCTAAAAGAGAAAAAGGCGTGTGGGGGGGTGCAAAACACCCATCCTTTGCTCTAAGCAGCAAAGCGTTTGAAAGCTGAACTGCTCAATGAGAAAGGCCAGCACTGAGTGTGTTTGGGGGAACGATTATCCCCACCAAGCCCCATTCACTGTTGCTGGGAGGCCTGTCAAGCACCTGGGTGGGGTCTTGGAGCTCAGTACTTGAGGTCCTCTCCTTGCCTCGATGGCTCACTCTCAGTTCTGCCTCGGCTTTCCAATTTGGGCAGACCCTGGGTGTCAGTTACAGAACAGTGGAGTGTCTGAGTACCCCGGAGTCCCCAGCAAAGAAAGCAAGTGGTGGCTTCTCTTGGCTCACGTAACAGTAGCTGACCTTGTTTAAAGAACAGTAGCCACCAAGTTGGACTGAGAATGTCACGTAAGTTTTCTGAGCTTCCGCTCCATCATGTATGGAAAAGGCAAGGCTAGCAGCCCTGACCCTCATGTTGTAGTACATGGTGTACCTGGCTCATAGGAGACACTCGGTTAATCTCTGATGAGAAGGGAGGAGACCAGACAATGAGGGGAAGCAGTGAACATGCTGCCTGGTGGACCGTAGACACCGTACAACGTTAACCACTCATAAAGGGAATCAATAGAAAAGCTAAACTCATAGGATAGCGTTGAAAGAATCAATTAAGATCAACACTGAAGACGGGAAGGGAAGCCGGAGCTAGGGCAGCATGCCTCAAGGTTGGCCTAGGATAGGTTGTAAACAGGAAGTGCTGAGACTTTGGAACAGGACCACTCTTTTCAGGGGCTCGGGAGGGGCTAGAGGGGTTCCCAGGCAGGGTGGTGAACAGCACCGTGTATGTACTGCATGCCAGGGGCACGTCCCCACTTGTGATAACAACAACAGAGTCTTCAGACAATTCTAGCTGTTCTCTGGAAGAGGAGATCTCCTTAAAATTTCCTCAATGGTTTGTGGTCTCTTCCATCACAAACAGTGACAATGGCGTGCCGAGTCCTACACACTGTGGGCCTCCTTCTCAGCCCCTGCCAACACTTAGGGGTCAGCAGTAATCACCAGCTGAAGGGCTGCCATGAAGGTCTACGGAGAGCCCAGACCTCTGTGTGAGACGTCGTAGATCCTTCTGGTTTCCCATGTACTTCCTAAGAAGTATAGAAACTGCCATTTGACCCATGAGGCGAAAAATGAATAAGCTGAAAATCTAACTCATCTTTGATCCATCAGAGAGTGAGGTCAGAGGATAAATGGCTGACCCCAAGGTGGTAGAAGCAGATTGTCAACACGGGGAACCACAGAAATGGACTAGCAGAAACCGTTGGAGGCACCAGAGCTGGAGAAAGCCAGGCTGCTGCTACGGGCAGGGTGCTGCAGGGTCTGTGAGGACAAGTTTGGAGTTCAAGTCCAGGGTGGTTCTTATGTGCGGCAGCCATACTTCCCTGGATTTGACCTCAGGAACTCTGCCAGGTTCTTACAGGCATCGTCAGAGTATCTGTCCTTACCAAGACCCCTCCTGGGGTTTCAGCAGGACCTGGTTGTCCTTTTGTTTTCATGATCAAATCCTTATTTCCCCCTTCCTTGAGAAACAAAAATTCTCCTTTACTTTTCCTTGGTCTGGGAGAAGGAAAACAGCCAACCCCCGCACCCTCTGGCTGTGTTGTGAGGGGTGCAGTGGAGGACTGAGAAGCCCTGGTGGAATTCACAGTCAGGACACAAGCTCACCAAAGCAGAGATCTGATCCCGGCGTGGCCCGCTTATCTTCGCTGCTGCCTTGCCCACACGCTCCGGAGGCTTGCCAATCACATTACCTTCCACCTACTCCACTGTGCCCAACTCTGGAGCAAAGGGGTTCTAAAAGGCTGACGACAGTTTGAAAAGGCAGAGCGAGCATCTGAACCAGATTCAGATATGGCAGGAGCGTTGAGCTTGCTAGATGGGGACTGCTAAATAACTGATTCACACACAAGGGCCCAGAGGAATGAAGGAGACAGCTCGCTGGGACAGGTGGGCCTTGTGAACAGAGACGGACATTGTAAACAACGGACAGCCCAAAGGAAGCACGAGGCGCTGCAAACACTAACCCATGAAGGTCGCCTTCGATGGACTCCTTAGTAGCCTGGGTGGAGGTGAGGAAATAAACCCAGAGCGTGAGGGTATGTCATTAGGAACTTCCAGTGTGGAAAAATCAAAAAGAAAAAAGGATTGGAAAGAAAAATAAAGAAAAAAAAATCTAAGAAAAAGGCATAGTGTTTGCGAGGTGACTCTGTCGAAAGTGAAAAGGCTGGGAGCAGAGCGGACTGAGGAGAGATGTCCTAATGGAGCTCTTACTTGTTTAGCTGGCAGGAGGCTTCAGGTTCAACCCCACCCCCACAGCCAACACACACACACACATACCCCAAGGGGCAGGGAGCTGTTTGAAGAAATAATGAGTGGGAATTTCCCCAAATTGGGTTTGGTCAGACACCAAAACCACAGACTGAAAAAGTTCAGAGAATGCAAGTGAGATAAGTGTCCTAAACAAACAAAACTCCCTACGTTCACACACAGCGAAGTCAAAGCATGAGAGGGGGAATCTTGGAAGAGGCCAAGGAAAAAAAAAAAGTCTTACCTGTGTTGGAAGAAAGATAAGAATTACATCCAAATTCTCCCCAAAATACATGAGCAAGAGAAGGGAGCAGATGAGATGTTATTGAAGAAAAGAACTGGCCAATCTAGAATCTGGTAACCTTCAAAGTGAGGAGGAATAAAGATTTGATGTTTATTTTTGATAAGGTCTCTCTACACAGCCCTAGATGACCTGGATTTTGCTTTGTGGATCAATCTGGTCCCAAATTCACAGACATCCTCCTGCATCCACATCCCGAGTACTGGAACAAAAGTGGAGCCACCATGTCTAGCAGGATTTTATCGCAGAAATTTAAGAGGAATCTATTGTCTGGCAGTCAATGTAAAAAGTTCTTTAGCTAGGCAGGGTCACCACAGAACATGCCTGCTATCCCAATGCTCTGGGGGCTGAAGCAGGGGAACCATGAACCAAGGCCAGCCTGGACTACAAAGTAAGATCTTGTTTCAGAAAAGATGGGGTGGGTGCAGAAGGGAGGAGGGAGAAGAACAGGAAAAGAGGAAGAAAGGGGGCTGGAGAGATTGCTCGGTGGTTAAGTGCACTTGTTGCTCTTACCAAGGACCTAGGTTCAATCCCCAGCACTGGCACAGCCTCTCACAACCACCTGTAACTCCAGTCACTACTTGGAGTCATCCGAAGTCATCATGTGCTAGTAAAGGTGTTTTCTGTCTGGAGGCATTTGTTCACAAGGAGAATCGCTCAAAGGGGGCAAAGCACAACACCAGAAGCACCGCCCAGGAAAATGCTGATGCCAGACTTCACTCAACAGGAAGCACAGACTGAGTCTGGGTTGATGGCCTAGAAGGTAAAGGCATCCGCCCTTCTATCCCGCGTCCAGTCCCTAGAACGCAGGAGAAGAGCCGAACACTGTTGTTCAATATGGAGCATGGCTACTCGGGGAGATGCTGAGCTCGGAGAACCGTCTTCACTTCCAAGAAATAAAATATCAGAAAGGAATACCACACTGGTGAGCATGCATGAAGCCTTCTCAAACATTTGTCAGCAATGTGTACAGGTGTCCTAGGAGGCCAGAAGGGTGAGTGCATCGGATCCCCTGCAGCTAAAACTAGAGTCTGTGGGGAGACGCTGATGTCTGTGCTGGGAACGGAACTCTTAACTCTCCAGCCTGGGGACATTCTTTTTAACAACAGCACATTTTGTTTTCCCAAGTCAGTGGTTGCACAGCACCCTGTCAAATAAAACAACTAGAAAGGATTGGTCAGTGACCCCGCCCTGCTGGCAAGTAGCTCCTCAAAGAGCGTTGGCTCCCTCAGAGCAAAGTTCAGGAAACATCAGCCGGAGAACAGGATGGAGCTCCCTGCTCAGTTCTCACAGCCCTTTGCACCTAGACCCCATGATCCAAGCCCAGCACCCTACAGGTCGCAGGCCCTGTCCTTTACCTTCCAGCTGTGTGAACATCTCTGTGCCTTAGTGATCTCATCTTTAAAATGGGAATAATAAAATCCCCAACTGTTGTGAGAATTAATGAGTCAATACATTTAAAGCTCTCAGGAGGGCTGGAGGTGCAGCTCGGTGGCTGCAGGCATGGATGGACAGGGTTTAATGTGTAGCACATGGGAAATGCTCAGTACATTTTGACTTACTACTGATTTTGTAGACTAGCTTGTGACACGCTATCACAGAAAAAAATTAGAAAAACCTAATAGCTTCTGAATGATGTACTTTAAAACATCTGTGGAGGGCTGGGCTGTAGTTGGCTTTTTGGCATGTGTTTATCTGTCTGTCCGAGGGCTCACACATGCCACAGCATGCATGTGGAGGTTAGGGGACAATCGGCAGGAGCCAGTACTCTCCTTCCACCATGTGGGTCCCAAGACGAACTCTGGTGTTCAGGCTTGGTGGGAGACACCCTCACCCCACGACTGTCTTGCCAGGCCACCTGTTTCCTCTACCCAAAACTCTCTGTCCTTTCTCTTTTATTCTTCTCTCAAGTCTCTGTGTGACACAATGACATCTCATGACCCATGACCCAACATGTATCAAACCTCAGTGAAAACTAAAACAGAATTTTTGCATATCCTCCAAAAAATGATTCTATACTCAATCCAGCAGACAGAATAAATGTAGGCAGGTTTTTAATTTTATTTTTTTAGATAGAGCAAGGTTACAATTCCTAATTCCTTACAATTAGGAATCACACCTGGTAACTAATTGGTTAATCATTTTCTTAAATTTTGTTACATTTATTTAGTGTGTTTGTATCTAGTGTCTGTGTGTGTATTTGTGCATGTGTCTGTGTCTGTCTGTATGTGTGTATGTATATCTAGTGTCTGTGTGTATCTGTGTATGTGTCTGTGTGTGTGTCTGTGCAACTGTGTGCATGGGTCTGTGTGTGCAGGTACAAGCACGTCATGGTGTCCCATGTGGATGTCAGAGGCCAACTTAGGGGAGTCAGTTCTTTCTGTCTGCAGGTGAATCCTGGGACTTAAACTCATGTCTCTAGGCTTGGGGGAGACAAGTCCCTTTTCCCATTGAGTAATCCTGCCAGCTCTGATTGGCTAATTTGAAAAATTAATAAAACAACAAATGAGAAGAGAAGGCTGAGAATTGCTCACTTGTAAATGTGCTAGATGATGTTTTTATGTGGGTGTTTGCATTGCAAATCCAATGTTGGATACTGCCTAAAAGCCATGAAGGAAGGAGATCCCAAGTTGGGTGCTTGATTCTTAGAAGATAGATAGATATAGATAGATAGATAGATAGATAGATAGATAGATAGATAGATAGATAGACAGACAGATAGACAGATGCTTTCAACCTAAATGAAGTAGAGCATGCAGGGAGGGCACTAGAAGGAGAAGATGTCTTTGAAGAGGGTGACCCTCGAGGACAGCTAGGTCAGTGATGCCAGACAGACTGGTCTCTGAGAGACGTGAGGCTTGGTGTGTCCTCTCTTTTGCTCAGATCTTATCTGGGGTTATTGATTTAACCTTTCCCACAAGCTGACGCTCTTCAGTTCTGGGACTCAGCCACTCTTATATATTCTAGCCACATCCAGTCAGCTTTCTGGTCCCTTGTTCCCCTCTGCCTGGTCCCTATATGGCAGGGACAGAGCCTCTGACCGTCGCTGAGATTCAGAGCTATCCGGAAAATTGTTCTTTCATCGTGTACAGTGTCATCTTCAAGTTTCAAGTCAAAAACAGAAGCAAAAGTTCACTGGCTTGGAGAAGCCAAATGTTGCCTACACAGTGGCAAACTGTATGCTACGCTCTGTGTCAGACAGAATTTGAGAGTGCCATTTATTCTGTAATGTCACCCCAGCTGCGATCTCCAGGTAACATTCCACATATGTTGACTCAGGATGATAAGAAACTGCTTGTTCTTAGCCTGGGCTCCACTGGAGAAACAACAGAATGCCTGCAGAAGTGACTGAGTGGAAGACCCAAACGCGCTCACCCCAGCCTAGCCATGTGCTGGATTTAGCATCTTCAGGCTTCGATGGAGGACTGTGGTCCAAGGGGTCAGAGGTGGCCTGCATTTTCTGCACTCTGTGGGGTGTGGGAGGGAGCAGTCTCCTTCCCACTCAGTCACCCTTGGAAACGCAGCTCAATGACCCCGCATCATAGGAATCTGCCCAGTGTGCTTTGAGGAGGCCAGGGGAGCCTGCCCTTCAGTGCAGCAGCTAGACGTGTCTCTGAAATGCTAATGAGATCGGCTCATTTCAGAACTGCTTATGGCATTCTCGGACTTGAAATGACCTGAAGTACACAGCAAGGCGTTACTGCCCTCCCTGGAAGATCTCCAGGCAAAGGAATTGTCCAGTGCTCCTTGGCTCTCAGCAGTCAAAGGCTGTTTCCTCTGGCCTGTCTTGTTTCCAGCTCTCTGCCCTTCACAAAACACATGCCCATATACATGCAGGCCCTCTCTGCAATCCTCCATTCCTGGAGAAAGGAGTGAAGGGGAGAGCTATGTTACTAGGTAAGGAAGACTCGGAATGACGCTCATGCAGTGATACTAACACAGGTTCTCAGTCTGGTTATTTTACTTAATCCCTTGCAGTGTGGTGAAGCTAAAGAAGCCCAGGCTGGAAAGACAGTGGCCTGTCAGCCTCCCTTCTTACCCATACCAAACCACCCCAGGAGACACGGATCGGATATTCTTTGTGAGTATCAGCAACTCATATACTTACTCTGAACCCGGTTTCTTAGCAGCTAAGTAAGAACACACACACACAGGGAGAGAGAGAGAGAGAGAGAGAGAGAGAGAGAGAGAGAGAGAGAGAGAGAGAGAGAGAGGGAGGAGAGAGAGAGAGAGAGAGAGAGAGAGAGAGAGAGAGAGAGAGAGAGAGAGAGAGAGAGAGAGAGAGATACCATGAACATATACAGGCATCCACATTGCATGTGCACGCAGGTCCTTTGCAGATGTTGTTTCTAGAACTTACAACACCCCTTTCCTTTCACCTAAGCTATAGCTTCTACCTGTCTGATTTTCAGAGGTTATCACTTCCTCCTGTGATGCCCTCCACATCCTGGAGTCCGACAGGTACTTGCTCACAGCACAGATTACCATAGACATCCTCTTACCTAACTTCTACCTAACTGGTGCTCCAAACTTAGCAACAATGGTGGCTTTTCGATACTGTAACAAAATACTTGAGTTAGTCAAACTAAGAAGGTGACAGGTTTATTTTGGACCCTTTAACTCATATTTAGTTGGTCTTATTGCTTTTAAGCTTGTGTAGAGGCACACCATGGTGAAAGCACTTATGAAATTATCTTTTCATGTCAGGGTACAAACAAAGCGGGAAGATGGCGTGTCGCTCTATCTCTTTTAAGGGAACACCCTGAAATGACCTAACTTTCTCCCATAATGCCACACCTCTCATGGCATCCACTACGTCCTGATAGTGTCTCAGGGTAGGGACCAGCCCTTGTAACATATGAGCCCGAAGGGGACAGATGTCATGTGATCTCTGTTGCTGTGATAAAAACACTCTTACCAAAACAACTTAAGAGGAAAGGGTTTATTTCCTTTACACTTCCATCACTGAGGAAACCAGGGCAAGAACTCAAGGAAAAAACCTGGAGGCAGGAACTGTGGAGGAATAATCTTTTTGTACACTGTGAGGATGTGTCATTCTGGTTGGTTTAATAAGAAGCTGAATGGCCAATACTAGGCAGGACTTTCAGGCACACAGGATGCTGGGAAGGAAAAGGATGGAGTTGCCAGGAAGACAGTGAGGAAGCAGCCTGGGCAGTACAAAGTAAAGATGATAAGGTCACGAGACAAAAAGTAGATTGATAAAAATGGGTTAATTTAAGTTGTAAGAGCTCATTAGTAACAAGCCTAAGCTATTAGTTGAGCTTTTATAATTAATAATGGGTCTCTATGTAGCTATTTGGGAGCTGATTGGTGGGACAGAAAAATCCACCTACAAGGAACTATGGAGGAACACTGCTGGTTCACTCTCTGGCTTACTACCAGGCTCGTGCTTAACAGGCTTTTGGGAATAGCCCAGAACCACCCACCTAGGGATGGTGCTACCCACAGTGGGTTGGCTCTCCTGCATCAGTTAATATCCTGAAACCTGATCCACGTTATTCCTCCATGATGTTCAATTAAAGACACAGCCACCCGCATTCCCTCTTCTCTATGAGACATAGATTAGTGTCTGGCCACTCTGTAAAATGACCACCTAATTTTGTTCCTTCCTTGTACCCTGTTTGCGTTGTCATTTGTACCTTTTTCCAAGTTTCTTCATGCTAATTGTGCGTGGGTGAGTCCGGCACGGCAGAAACAGTGACATGTGTGTACGAAGGACAGTCACTTCTCTGCAGACTAAATTGAGCAGCCCAGAAAGGCAAGCTAAACAACAGGGAGACTGGGGAGTGGATGACTACAGCTGCAAGAGTCTGCAGTCAGATTCTTCTCAAGGGTGTCTTTAAATCCTCCCTCTGATGCAGAGAATGAAAACAGGAAATCTCTGAGCAAGGGTGTGGTGGATACAAAGATCACAAAAAGGGTTTGAGCTTTGCACCAGGAGATGCACATGAGCCAGGTGTGAGCCAGGCCTGGTGGGGCACAGCTGTGATTCAGTGCTTGGGAGATGGAGGCAAAAAGAGCAGGAGCTCAGGGTCATCCCTGGCTGCATAGTGAGCTTGAGACCAGCCTGGGATACAAACCAAAATGCTAGCAACAAAGTTTGTGTGTGTGTGTGGGGGGGGGTAAATCTTCTGGGTTAAAATAAATGCTTAAGGGATGTGTCTTTTTCTGTGATTCCTTGTTCACTGACAAAACCTTCGTGGAGGTGACAATACTGTCATATTCCTACAAGGTCACATCACAGAATATGGAGCTCAGTGTGAAACAGAAAGGCAGGCCTCCTAAACATCTTAGGAATTTCAATATGGTGATGGCAGTGTGTCAGATCTTGTGAACACTGTGGTGTTTAGGGCTCTCTGAGTGGAGGCCTGCCATATAGGCCAGGGGTCCCTCTAGGCTTGGTGCCTGGGATGCCCCACAATGACACCCATAGAATAGCCCAGACTGCAACCTCCCGACACAGAAGTCAGGAAGTCCAGGCACTACAGTCAATGCTTTTCTGCAGAGGGCCTGTTAGTGTCAGGCTGTTTTCCAGACTCTACAAACGCAGTCGGGAGAGAGATTCAGACTCCAGCCCTCCTGCCTCTTAGTGTCTGCTGACAGTGTTAAGAATTGAACCCACCTATTAACTTCAGTCCCAGGGAATCTAATGCTCTCTGTTGGCCTGCATGGGCATTAAGACACACATGTGGGGCACATATACATATGCAAACACCCATACACATAAAGTTAAAATTTGAAAAGGAAAACACATCCAAAGGAAATCAGAATATGGATTAAATGAAAACCTTGGAGTGGGGGTTAAGTGCTCTTTGAGCTTCAGTTTTGTGCTGAGTTTTGTGGTAACCAAAGCAAAACACACATGCTTACACATGCTTACACATGCTTAGGAGTACATTCGTACATGTGTGTTTGTGCATGTAGAGACTAGAAATCACTGTTATTCCTCAGGTGCCATTCATTTTGTTTGTTTTGTATAAGATGATGATTGTGTGTGTGTGTGTGTGTGTGTTTAGTATTCACAAGACTATGCTTGTGTCCACACCTGTGTACGGGCATGCAGAGGCCAAATCAGCATGGTGGGTATCTCCTACTACTGTTGGGCTTATTGCCTTGAGACAGTGTCTCTCACCAACTTAGAAGGTTTCCATTTTGATTGATTGGCTGGCCAATCTTGGAATTTGCCCGTCTTTGCTGTTCAGTGTTGGAGTTACAAACACACTCAGCCATGCCTGACTTTTTACATGTGTGATAAGGATTTGAATTCTGGTCCTTGCGCTTGTAGAGCAAGCGCTCCCATACACTGAGCAATTTCTTCAGCCTCCCACCTTGCTGTTTTGGGACTGAGTTTTTCATGGGCTTGAATCTTGGAAAGTAGGCTAATCTGGTTGGTCAACAAGCTTCAAGCTGTCTCTACCACCCCAGTGCTGGGGCTACAAATGTATGCTAACATGCCTGAGTATTTTTTTACATGGGTTCTGGGAATCAAACCCAGGCTTTCATGCTTGTACAGCAAGCAATTTATAGACTGGACTGTCTCCCCTGGACCCATTTCTCTCTCTCATCTCTTAGTGTTTCTCTCCGTTGTTTTTTTTTTCTTTTATCACCAAGCCATTTGTTCAGAGGAAATTGCACTTATTCCCAGTTTCACAGAGAAAGGCAGTTCAACAATAGAGATCCCTGCGCAGAGGGGATGGCCTGAGCACAGACAAGACATGCAACTCTCTACCTGCCTTTGTGCCTGCTAAGCTGTGCCTAACTGTATCTTTCCCACGAACAGATACACACCCCCAAAAAAGATTTGTGCCTATCTCAGAGACACAGTTTAGTGGAAAGCCTTAATAAAAGTAGCAGCTGTAAGCCGGGCAGTGGTGGCTCACGCCTTTAATCCCAGCACTCGGGAGGCAGAGGCAGGTGGATCTCAGTGAGTTCGAGGCTGGGCTGGACCGACAGCCTCAAAAACAATACAGAGAAACCCTGTCTCGTAAAAACCAAAAAAAAAAAAAAGTAGCAGCTGTAGTAATAGTCTTTTATCTAGATGGAAAAACAAACAAAAGCCAAACACTTCATTAAAACAGGAGTACTGTAGACTGGAAATCAATTTCAAATAAATTAACATTAGGCATACCTTTCACACTAATTTTTTCTGTTTGTAATTTAAGTTATTTTTTATTACTATATGAGAAAAAATTTAATTTATACACACTAATGGAATATATACTGCATAAGATTTCCATACATGTACACATTATATGGGCAAATCAGGGAGATGCATCTGTTTCCACAAATGTCCATCATTTCTTCATGGTAGAAGCATTCAAAATCCTTTCTCCCAAATTTTCGTAACACATAGTATGTTGTTGTTATCCATAGTTACTCCGTGACAGGATATGGCCCGGTTCCTTATTTGAATGCATGTGTATGTTTATGCATGTATTAATGTATATGTTTATATGTCTGTCTCTCTGTGTGACTATATATCTGTATGTACATAAATGTGCATGTGTATCTGTGTCTATGTGTGTGTGTGTATATGTGTGTCTCTGTGTGTTCGTGTATGTGTGTGTGTGAGTATGTCCGTGTGCATCTATATATGCTTATTTTCAATGCTGGTGATAGAACCCACAGTCTCCAGAATGCTAGGCAAATGCTCTACCTCTGAGCTATATATACAGTCACAGAACTTCCTAATCAGCATTACTTTATTTCATCTTTGTTTGGGGCAAGATCTCTCTGTGTATCCTAGTCTGACCCTGAACTTGCAATCTTCATGCTTCGGCCTCCCAAGGTTAGAAACTGTGACGCATAGTTTAAACAATGAGCATGTAAGCCCCCTCAGTCCCCTGTTCCAGGTTCTTCTGGTCCAGCTGTCAACCTGTAGAAACTGTTTGGATTCGGGAGTGGGGGGGGGGAGCTTAGAATTTCCAACCAGGGTGTTGCTAGTCCCTGAATGTGGTGGCCCCATGCCATTGCCTAGAGAAAGGATAGGCTAAGCTCTCCCACCAGCCCCGCTTGGGCAGTAACTGCTGTGAGCCCCTCACAGGCCCCTTCTTGGGTGTA